AGGGATACCTAAAGCGGGGATAAAACAGCAAAAAGACTCAAACCTTCCAAAACTTTGAAAGGAGAGTGTAGGGATACCTAAAGCGGGGATAAAACAGCAAAAAGACTCAAACCTTCCAAAACTTTGAAAGGAGAGTGTAGGGATACCTAAAGCGGGGATAAAACAGCAAAAAGACTCAAACCTTCCAAAACTTTGAAAGGAGAGTGTAGGGATACCTAAAGCGGGGATAAAACAGCAAAAGACTCAAACTTTCCAAAACTTTGAAAGGAGAGTATAGGGAAAACTAAAGCGGGTATAAAACAGCAAAAGACTCAAATCTTCCAAAACTTTGAAAGGAGAGTATAGGGATACCTAAAGCGGGGATGAAACAGCAAAAAGACTCAAACCTTCCAAAACTAACTATTCAAGACAAATAAAAGTGCAGACAGAAATGAGGAAAAAGTGGATGGTCATCGTCCACCCTTGAGCCTTACACTGGTCAGTAGTAAGAGCGAAAAGAATAATATTTCTGACCGGGATACCCAGGGCGAAAACCGCCCCGTCTTTTAAGTTTTGACGTAAAAAATATAAATCATGGAAAGCAAGAAATAAAGTTTGCTCTAAACCTTTTTATTTTTTTACCATTTAGATAAGCAGTGCCCAAAGTTTATATATGTATATGTTCTTTAGATATAGTTGTTGAATATTTTGGCAGCATATGCGATGTCTTTAGATATTACAACATGATATAACATACAAGCGCTACAAACTAATGTCTTCGGGTATTAGAGGCTCATAACTTCAGGTGTTGGGATTTGATATAGGAGTCTGTCCTACAGCAGTAACTCTAAAAGAAGTCCCCCTCCCAGTAGCACAGCGACAATTCTGCGGACTTACAACGCTACAAACCAGATTTCGATACCCGTGGAGGGCAGAGCACAGATAGCCTTTTTGTATAGCTTTGTGCTTAACTTCAAACAAACAAACAAAATCTAAAAGCTAAACTCTGGTGTATTTTAAAACATAATTAGTCCTACAAGATCATTGTTCACTTCTTTAAACCTATACTTTATAGCATTGCGACATTTTCCTAGTAACCGCCACTTCTAGTCAGGCCCGGCATGGCCAAGTGGTTAGGGAGCTCGACTCGCAATCTTCGGGTTCGATTCCCTGTCCCACCAAAAATGCTCGTCCTTTCAACCGTGGGGGCGTTATAATGTGACGGTCAATCCCACTATTCGTTGGTAAAAGAG